AACAAAATATATACAAATTAATACCTAAATAGGGACATAGTAGTATACTTAAAGTATGATGTAAAGTTCACTAAAAGAAAACTTAAGAGTCCACTTTCAGTATAAAACTACTAAACTAGTACTTTACTCAGCCTATACTTCAAAGTGTACTAAAAATACTACTACAAGTATTTAATTAGTAAACTATCAGTATACCTATAAGTTCACTTTTAAGTAGGCTAGCACAAGATTTTGCAACCCTTATTTAAATGTGGAAGTTAATTAATCCTCTAAATTATCGTTCAGCATGTGTACGGTAAACAGAAGTCAGTCCTGAAATGGCGTTAACTGACTATAGTTAGGCTACGTGATAACCATAGCAGTGTTTTGACTCTCACAGCTGTAAACGTAGATTACGGCTATTTAACCAGTTTACCCCAATTTCACCATAAAAACATTTAAAGTTGTTTTTGACCAAAATAACATCGGATAGAAATGTCGTCTGAACCACTGTCTAGGGGCGGCGTGTTTTGTTTTGTTTGTGTTCATAAGCCCCGATTGCTCGCTCCCTCTTGAGTGTAATGTATGGATTCCGAGATCACCGAGCTGAATCAATGAGACAGCGTTTGAATGCGTGAAAACACATACTTTGTAGTTTTCTTTTTTTTTTGGGGGACATGGTTTACTGCTTGTAAAATGTGAATCTTTTTCTTTAATTACCGAACAAACCGTTTGTGTACAAAGCTCCCAGTAGAGGCGTGATAAGTATTTAGCTACAGCCTACAAGGCCATTTACAAACTAATCTTCAAACTCACAAGATTGCAAGCAGGAAGTGCTCATGCACCTTTCCAATCCTTTTCTCAATTGAAACGAACCTGGGTTCTTATTTTTGCTCTAAGGTCCTTGTTAAGTTGTTATAAAAAATGGATAAATAATTTAGCCTAATCAAAAGGTCATAGTCATCATAACCTGCTGTCATTTGATTCATCGGATTATGCTTAATAAATTTACTGTATGTTAATTTGTCAGGAAGAGTCATATTGCTTGGTAGGTGTCTGCAGCTATAACTATTTTATTTCATATTTAATTTTTATTTAAAATAATTATTTATTAATGGAAAGTGGATTGCAGCCATGGAACTAGATGGATCATATAAATCTGGGAATATAGCTTGATATTAATATATTCCCCCGGAATCTTCATTTAATGTTGCTCATTATTATTGTGTTGGAAAAAATATTAGCATAATGATTAAATATTAGCAGAAAACAGATAATTGAATCACAGTGAAAGAGATTCAAGCTCATTAAAACAGTCTCGAAATAGTTTTGTTGTTTCATAACAAGTTGTCTCCTTTTCATATTTTATGTTCTGTTTTTATAATGATTGGTATAGCAAATCCCCTTTTTAAGCATCTTTATGAACAACTGTTTTGAATTATGGTGATAAAGTTTTCTTTTTTGGCACTTTATCTCTTACTCCTGCCTTTGCACCGAGAGTCACAACTAATCAAAGGCATTCATATGGAGAGCGCTGTTGGCCTCTGAAGCGTTCAAGCTGGATTTGGCCAGCCGTTCTCCCTCTGTTTTGGAAAGTGAAAATTCCTGAAGGCACTTCACTTCAGGTTTCTGGTGGGGATCTAAACATGCATGCAGAGACTTTGGTGAACGCTGTCTTAGGTGCTTTGCTTCTAATTTTGCTCTCTGCCGTTCAAGGAAGTTTACAGCAGTCGCTAAGATGAGTTTAGCTGTCTTGTTTTTCAATCAGTTTGACTTTTCCACTGTGCAGCCACGTTTTGCTGACAGACTGGATTTTTACAGACAGGAAAGTTTCTGTTGTGTAGTCACAGCTACAGAACTTGTCTAAGGCTTGTAGATTTCTATCTTAAGCTATTTACACTTCTTTATTTTTTCATTGCCAGCAATGTTTTATTTATTTTACTTAATGCCCCTTTAAGCCAGTTTTTACCTCACAGAACATACAGTACGGTATTTCCTTCAAATCAGAAACATATGCACCTTTTTGATCTCTTCCTATGGTTTTGGCTAAGGTCCCCAGTTGCGTGACTGTAATTTTGACAAATTACTTAAGTGGTTTATACAGGTGCACATTCACCTTAATGTGTACCACAATGCATGTTTATGTATGCTCTGGCTGCATTGCACATAATCAGAGACAGAGACTAGAATCAGACTGAATATGCTGTTGTGACTGACAGACTTGTTCCATGTAACTGCAACTTACGAAGCCCCTGAACAGTGTTTGCTTAAAAAAATATTTTTAAAAAGTGTACTTTATTACCCTGTAATGTGAGAAAGGCCAACTGCAGAGACGAGAAGCAGGAGAGGTATGTAAGAACGCTACCAAATGAAATATTTTTCACAGGGGAACTCGGGTGAGAAAATAATAAACAGTGGAATACAGTCCACCGTTTGTTTTCAGTAGGATTGTAATGAAATTCTTGTTCTTGACTTTTGACAGCATTTTCTTTTTAGAACTTTACCAGCATACACTGCAATATACTCTTTGATATTATATTATATTATATTATATTATATTATATTATATTATATGTCCTCAAATGTAAAGAAAATTGAAGATTAAAGTTATTTTTATTGCTTCCAAAATCAGATCTTCAAGCAGACACATTTGTATGGACAGTGTCTAGACATGCATTTGCTGTTCTCTGTGGGACTGAGTGCTAGCAGAATCATATCTTATGAGTCATGGCTCCATTTCCACCGAAGTGGTGATTTCCACATGACCTGCATTATAGAGTTTTTTTTTTTTTTTTGGCTTTAAATATTAGCTTGCAAGCATACAAGAAGATACAGACAGAAAATCTACCAAAATCTGATCCATCCTTCGAAACCAAACAAGACTTTTCCTCCAGAAAGCTAGATGGAGTCTGGTTGTCATTACTGGTAAAAGGAGGATTGCAAACCACCACCCACCCATCCACCATCTGGCATATGTTCACCTACAGGGGAAGAACAGAGGTTTGATGTGGAAGGCAAAGGTCACGGGGTGAATGAACACTCTTGTGTCTTGCAGGCAGGTGGGTGGAGAGTGTAAGATCTCCCCTGAATCATCACTGAGGCGCTGTCGGACCCCCGACGGTTTGATCTGTAGTGGAAGAGGTGAGTGTGAGTGCGGGATTTGCATATGCCAGGTCACGGAATTTGCCCCCATCAAATTGAAAAAGGTTAGAGAAAAACGTACTGCGCCATGGTACAACAGTAATACCCATTCTCTCAAGAAAAAAACTCGTAGTCTTGAGCGCAAATGGAGAAAAACTAACTTGGAAGTTTTTAGAATTGCGTGGAAAAACAGTATGTCCAGCTATAGACAGGCTCTAAAAGCTGCCAGGGCCGAGCATATCCACAAACTCATAGAAAATAACCAAAACAATCCTAGGTTTTTATTTAGCACAGTGGCTAGATTAACAAATAACCAGACGCCACCCGATCTAAATATTCCCTCACATGTATTGTTAAAAGCGCTATATAAATAAAGGTGACTTGACTTGACGGAACCCGGAACGTTCTATGGACCACGTTGTGAATGCCATGACTGGATCTGTCCGACATATGACGGGAAGACCTGTGGAGGTAAGAGCTGTCTCACACTCTCCCAGCACAGCTTTCTCACTTACTTGTGAATGTCATGTTTCAATATCAAGTGTCTTCTGCAACAAAAAGGCTTTGTAGACATGTGCAAGAAAAGACACAGCCAGCTTCAGTAAAGGCCTTTGATGTTCCATCCAATACGGTGTCATTAGCTACAAGGTCTCATTTGAATTTCACAGTGCCTCTATTCAGCCAAACATAGGCAGTTTCAAAGGAGCCTGTTTGGGTGCCATGTTGTTCTGTAGCAACCCTCTTTTTTTAATTTTGCAGACACTGCTTCAAAGGATCATTTTCACAGATACTTCCTTTACTGTGTTGAATGTTATTGCAGTCGTTTCCACTGGATGGTGAGTGTGTGCAAAATTTGGTGTGAGTCCAAAGAAATCCATTAGCAAAGACTCCTGAATAACCTGACTTCCAAACCCTTGACAAACAGCACCATGACCTGCCGATGGCTTTGAAACATTTTATAATAAGGACACAGTGGTGCTGCTAGTGTAAGATATTTACACTCCATAGAGAGCAACTGTGACCATACACTTTTCAAGCTGCCTTGGTTCTGAAAGTATTATTCTTTTTTATTTATTCTATTGACTTTATTAGAAGTTCTTCAATAAAGACTTCAAAGCCATGAACCTAAACAACAACTGACATATTTTTGCAACCATTTCTGTTTCTACCGTAAAAGTGCCTTCTCTGTTCAGGATTATGGGTAGTGTAGTTTTCTTTCTGTTGAAAAAGAATATTAAACAATTTTTTAAAGGAAGTTGAACTCACTTGGAATTCTGCAGAATCATATATGATCTGTGATTGGACTCTCTTGAGAAGTTTATACATTACAACTAAAAATAAATTTTTCCATGAAGAATATGAATGGGGTTTTTGCTTACTTTACTGCTGTTGCTCTCTATAGCTGTAACATGTCGATTTTCTGCACTGAGTTCTATACTCTTGAAAACAGCAATCCACCTAACAGACCTTGAACAAAAACACCCATCTATTTCCATACCACCTCCAGTTCTGATCTGTACGCATGAGATGCTGAGGACCACTAATGGAGATATGTGAAGCTGGAAAGAAAGATTTATTTGTGGAGGCAGGTTGCGAACCAGTGAAGAGCTTGTTAGCTTTGGATCATAGCTGATAATAGAGTTTCTCTCATGGTTACGTATTCTGAAAATGGAGGCCACATATGGACCAGCATTCTTTTTTTCTTGCCTAACATCAAGGCTGTACTGCACATCTGTGTCAAAATACCCTACATCTCATCCTTTAAATATAAAGCTGGTTTTCTTAGCTGGTTCATGCCAGTTTGGGATATTCTAGACATGTAAAAGGACTTTGATGTTGTGCCATTGTTCACATCCCTTCACTTCACTGTAATTGAAGTTTTAGAATAGCATCAGGTGGAATTTATATCACAAATACAGTGAGAAAGGCTGTGCTTTCTGTTTGTCTTCTGTTCAATCTTTTTGACCATTACACAAAAATAGCAGGATGTGCAAGCTGAGCAGCATTGTTTGTATATTGCTTTAAAACACTGTCTTGTCATTTCAGTCAGCATACAGGGCACATAAGGTCTTGTTTACGTGCTCCATATAGTAGTCCCTGACTATAAGCTGCATTTCTTTGCCTTCATTTTTAATCATTTAATTTCTCATTACAAGATCTGCATGATAAGTGGAGCATTTAATGAGAAATTTCGGTTCTGACTTAAGAAGAAAAACGTAAGTCTCTGGAGAGTTGCATTTGTTCAGGGAGACTCCATAAATCATTTTGCTTTGAAACACCTGTTTTTGTTCACTGACAAACAGATAGACATGACAGCATATCTTGACCCAGCAATAAGACTGCAAACTAGGACTTTAGGGTGCACAAAACTACACAATGTCTTTACCTGACAGCTGGTCACCAGCTGTGTGTTTGTTTGCATCTCTAGTGTTTCAATAGGCTACATGTGATTAACATATGTGAATATTTCTTTTTCATTTGTTGTCACCGAACAGCAAAAAAATCCAAATGTACAAGCACTTCCATGGGATTTTAATTGTTTGTACAGACTGGGGAAAATGGAGCACAATTTCATGGTTTTCTTTCCTTTTTATGTGACCTGGTTTTGCTTTTTTTGTTCTACTTTATGGGGACAGAGCTCAACGTGGCAGTTCCTTTCTACTTCCCTCACTCATTTTCCCTCTCCCAAAACAAGTTAATTGGTGTTTCAAGGAGCCACGTGAAAGATTTGGCACAGCACTGCCTTAACTTTTCCTCCTCTGTAGCTCTTTTCCATCTGTAGAAATTTTCTCAGCTACTTGGTGTGACCTTAATTTTTGGTCCTGTGGTGTGATGCATTGACCCTTTTATCAAGCAAGTGTTGCCATCTAGAGACCTTTCCTCTCCAATCTGAAACAAACTAAAATTAGGTATATGTGAAGAACAGATAGATATATGATCATTTATGTTCACAGAAAGTTATTTTATATACATCAATATACATCAATGGCTGTGATTTATGATACCCTTGAGATCTTTTGCTTTTTTTGATGTGCTTGAGTGAGCGTGTCAGAAGAGTGATATTCACTCAATATGTTTTCAGGTCCCAGTGGAACTCTGTCAAGAGCTTTTTCCTAAGTCTTTTTGTTGTTGGACTTCTGTTCTTCCCAAGAACATTCTGATGGGGAAATGGCTTATAGGAATATCATACAACCTTTCTTTTATCTTGATTGCCACGTATTTAAAATGCTGTCTTGCGCAAGATGCGAACACAATGGTCAAAGATGCATGTCTAGTGCTTGTTTACATAGAAAAACAATGGAAAAGTAGTGCAGTGCAATGGAAAAATGCATTCTGTGTGAACAGCCTCTAAATCCATAGAAGAACTATGGCAACTATTCCGAGATGCTTAGAATAACCTGTCTCAGGGTCGATCCCATACTGTCTCAATCTGGACCTCTTGTTTGTACACAAATATCACTTGATTATTACAATAATTGCTAAAGAAATGTTTGATATGATATGATATCTAAAACTGATATTTCCTACTGGCACACTAAAGCAAAAGATACAAATTACCTTCCTAACCTCTAATGTGCCAAATACATTTGCACACATGATGAGTAACCAATAGCACTTTTTAAAATGCTTAGGTGAAGTGTGATGATAGTTTGACAGCAGTGTTTATGGTTCTGGTGAACAAACATATGCATTCTAGCAAGCCTCTGTCACCATAGTTTGAGTACTAGCTCAGGCAGCAGGTCTGATCCATACTTCAAATTACATGGAAAAGGTCACATGCCTTCCAGGTCAATATACACTTGGAATACAATGGAACAGGAAATTGTGTCCGAACAGGGGACAACACTGTCATTTCACTGCAAATATGAATGATGATGCCAAAATGACACTTTAATTTCCTCTCTGGTATTTCATCCAATTAGTAACACACTATCAAATGTCAGGTGAGAGGAAATAGGGAAAAGATGAACATGACATGGGCCGGACATGAACACACATCTCCCATATGAGCGCTACAGCTCAAAAAGTTAGACCACAGGTCTGTCTGACAAGTATCATTAATCATAGATTGTCTATAAACTTATTACACTCAGTGACCCTCATTCTTTACATGATTTGGCCTGTCTTCATCGCTGCAGGTCTGCTGTAGGTATGCAGCATTATTAGCCAGGACAGATGTCTCCCTCACACTCAGCCCAGCCTAGCACATAATCATTTCACGCTCTGCAACGCAAAGCAGGAGAACAACAAGGGGAAATAATTACCTCACTGTCTTGTTTTATACAAAGCCGCTGTTTAACAGGCTGAGAGGAAAAAATGTCTTCAAGATCAAGCTAGCACATAAAGGCCCTGGTTTACTAAAGGTTTGTGTGGATAAAAACATGTGCAAACTTCATAGCATGCTGATTAACAAAGAGCCTGCTGGAGATTATGTCTTTTGTAATGCATAAAAAATCGTGTCAGTTTTTGTGGATGTTTGTCCCAATCCAGTGTTAAACCTGTTAGATTAATTTCACGGTGCAGCCCTGTTTTATTTATTTATTAATTTTTTTTCTTGTTTTGATATGATAAAATAGGCTGCATTTACAAAAAATATTCTTTAATTAAAATTGGTGTAGAAACCATTTTCACTCATAAATTGCTAATAAATTTCACAAATAATTACAAAGAAACAAGCAAGCAACACATTAGATTAAATGTTAAATTTTGAAGTAGAAAGACTAAAATAGTATTTTCTTGTAAAAAAAATACTCCAATAACTTTGCTAGTCTAAAAAAGTGGTGTGTTCAGGCGCATTGTTGGCACGTTGCTATTTTGAGGAACTGAAAATAGACTGAGCCATAGACCAATACCATGTCCAGATACCCACACTTGTGGTCTTTGCACTTGACCACTTGACTACTTATATGATGTATTTCCTGTATTTGGCCCAAGTGTTCAAGTGAGGATGAAGACCACAAGTGTGTGTACAACTGTTCATTACCTGATGGGACACACTTGTAGTGTTGTAAAAATGCAAGTGTTTACATAGCTTTATTTTAACTTTAATTTTAAATACTTTGCATTTTAAAATCAACTTCTAAATGTCTGTTCAGTAGTCCATATAACATGACAATTTTAATTTAGCTACTTTCAATTGAAAGCAGTTGGCAACACTGTCCCTAGATGACACAATTTAATTAAGTGATAAAAAGCAGTTACAAATGTTGTACAAAAATAAATATACTAATCTTTGCAGCAATAAAATGTGTAGCACTTTGTTTGACTACCAAAATTTAACTTGCATTGGAAAGGTTTCCGTGACCTCTCGCGAGATCTCGGCAAAAAGTCTCACGATTTATTTCCAGAACATGATGCATGATGGGATACACTAACCCTCGAATACCGCTCTGGAGTGGTATTCGAGATAGTGTGGGTTTAGTGTGCGTTATGCCGAGTTCACTGCACGATTTTAGCCCGATTTTTCACTCGCCGACACATTTTGCAAAATCGCCGACAAATGCCCGAAATCGGAGGCAAATCCGTGCTCGTTCACGCGAGTGAAAATCACAGTGTGAATTATCAAAGAACCGATCTGAGGGAATTGCTGATGCGTTGCCAACGCCCATGAAATATTTGGCATGCTAAATATCTGGAGCTGTCGGCGATTCACAATCACGCTGTGTGAAATGAGTTCTGACTGAAAAACACATTGGTGATGACCTACAGCCAATGAGAGACCAAGATACAGGGCAGCGGGAAGTTCGGGGAGTAGTTTGCGGACCAGTGTTGCCAAATCCTCGATTGCCGCCGGTTGTTTTTTATGACAGCAGGTTGAAGCGACCCCAATAACGTGATATTTAGGCCCTGGAATGTGAATTGTACCAGGAGAACCCTGGTACATTTCAGGCTAGTTTTGAGTATTAATTGGGCGGGTTTTGTAGTGAAAACCTGGCAACCCTGCACCAGACAGAGCTGTCGGCGATTCTTCCTATTGTAAAGTCATGCAGTGTGGTTAGCTATTATAATTTGGTAGAAAAACACAGTTTTTACGTTTTATTGGTGCGAGGATGAGTAGTGGTGATATTTATTTTGTACAACATTTGCAACTGCTTTTTATCACTTAATTAGAAGCACCACAAATTAAAATTGTCATGTTATAGGGACTACTGAACAGACATTTAGAAGTTGATTTTAAAATGCAAAGTATTTAAAATTAAAATTAAAATAAAGCTATGTAAACACTTGCATTTTTACAACACTACAAGTGTGTCCCATCAGGTAATGAAAAGTTCGACACACACTTGTGGTCTTCATCCTCACTTGAACACTTGGGCCAAATACAGGAAATACGTCATATAAGTAGTCAAGTGGTCAAGTGCAAAGACCACAAGTGTGGGTATTTGGACAAGGCTCTGGTCTAAAGATAATATTGTCTGGCGCAATATTTTTTCCTTGTTATTTAAAGAGCGCGTCAGTAATATGCGCCTGTATGTGGGTGCACAACGCGCGTACACTTTGCTTATTACACAGGGATGCGCAGCAGCACACAAACATTTTTAAAAATGAAAAATTACATTCCGCCATGTAAATAGCGAACCAGCCATGGCACAAGCTTTTAAAACTGGCTTTTAAAGGGGATGGGAGATGAGACTCTGATTGGTTTATTGCAGTTACGCCCAAAAAACACCCTTTACTCATTAAGAGAATATGGACAACCCGTTTAGACCATGCTCCCGGGCGCGCCGACCGTTTTCCCGTTGTTAAACTAGCAACAGTGGATTTCTGACACGCCCTGAGTGCACCTGCGCCGTGCGCTTTAGACCATGCGTTTAGATCGTTAAAATAGGGCCCAGTGTCTTTACTTTTGTGTACACTATTAATCGGAAACAAGCTATTATATACTCACAGTCCAATCATAGGTGTAATTGCTGTCTTTGACTCCCTGATTTTAATTTGATTTTAATTTGCATAGGTTAGTTGAGATCCTATCTAAGCTGAATTGAGTTAATATGAACAATTTTGCAATGATCATTGAAGTACCTTAATATTTTAGAAAAAGGAGCAAAAAGAATGCTGTTTCAAGGTTAAAAAAAAAATGCTAAATTTAAATATATCTACTGAAAAAAGTAAGTACATTCTTGAGCCGAAAATATTTGCATTCTGAAATGAGCTGGATGCTGCTCTGAGACAACATTGCCTGCGATTCTGAGACAATACTGTCTATTCTTGTTTCCCAAAACAAATTATTGTAATCAGAGTTTACGTCATGCATACTCTTGGTCACCCCATATTCCTATGTCAGTATTTAACATGGACAGCACTGTCTGCAATTGGAACAGCTATTAGAATCTGATGATTCATTAATCTGCTCGCCATCTACAATTTATCTGATGAGGACACACCGTCTATTAATACTGTTCACAGCTGTTTAGAGTGAGTCATACAGCTTAGGGTGGATATGGCAGTCTTGGCCCATCAGCTGGGAAGGGGTAAATTATGCCCCTGGTGGCACAGAAGCCGGGACACAGTGGACAGCAAGGACCAAAGTCTTCCTCCCACATATGGGTGGGTGGCAGTTAATATGTCAAAGTGATTGTGTCTGCATGTAGGATGGCATCAAATGACTTTCAAGAGAAACATGACTACGAAAGTTGAGAACATATTAAATGGAACTGAAAGAAGAAATGTGTTACTTCTTTTGCTTTGTTCTTGTTTTTATAATATTGACATTGCTGCCTTCTGTAGAACTGCTTATAGCTGAACTTGTTTAGAAACTGATGAACCTTACACTGTTATTGAACTGAACTAAAACAACACTGCATAGATATAGCTAGCTAAATAATGACAATATTGTCTTTTTTTTAGCTGCTTTACAGCAGAATCTGAATGGTCTCCATAATTGGGTTGATTCTGCTATTTTCTCATTTATTAAAGCTGCTTTGAAACGATCTGTTCATATAAAGTGCTATAGAAATAAAAATGATTTGACTTGACTTTAGAGTCATCTGTACTGTTAGTAATAATGATCAAATTCATTGTCAGTGCATACTTGTTTTTATATATTTTTATTTTATTGTATTTTTCTTTATTATTTTATTCATTAGCTATGTCATTCTCAAAATATGGTAAGAAAAATGTTAAATAGATTTCAAATATTCAAGAAACCCCATAAAAGTGCATATCAATTCCCTTTTTATTTTTTACTAATTTCCCCCAGTTTAAACAGTAGTTCTAGGCTTAAAAAGTGAGCAACAAAACAAAAAGGACATTTGTCCTTTTATTTAATGTCACTGGTGTCCTCAATGTTAAAAACTAGTCATTTGAAAATCCATTACAGGTCAAATATTGGTTCCTCTAAAAAGAAGTTCAGAGGAAGATACCCCCACCACATTGAAAACGTTATTCTGTAAAGTTCGGTAATGTCTGAAACTGTGCAGGAAGTTGTTGTCCTGCTGCTATGACAACCTGCCTGATGTAGTGATGAGAATGCCTTCTTAAAAGATCACATCATAGCCAAAGTCCAAAATAGCTGGGCTCGTATCTTAACATTTGCTATACCAATTTGCTTTTAATCTATATGGCACGAGATAGATGTATCCTCCATTTGGTATTAGTATAAATCTTGCCTTTCCCTCCAGATTGGCTATAAAACACTGAATGTTTGTGACAAGCAGCCAAGACTCTCTGGTAATGAGTACAGGAGCAGAACAAGGCTATTGTTAAGGACTGATGGATAGCACTTGAAGACGACATCAAATTTACATGATGGATTAGTGCAGGGAGTGATTGAAGATGACACTTCAGGATGTGGCTAAACGAGCTAAATTTACAATAATAACAGGATATATTTGTAGCATATTTTGTCTTCCATTTTTTGTTGTTTTTTGTGCACATCCATTTTCATCCATGGAGTCAAGAATAATGATAGGCAATCATAACAATATTCTGATATAGAAAAATAATCTCACTTTCGTACTGTTGCATGCATATTAATAAGAAGAAAGAGGAGAAGCCAGATGAGAAAGAGAGAGTGGTGGAAAATGAATGAAAAAGGTCCTTTAAATATTTGTAATAAATAGAATTGCTTGTATTTTCTTTGTAAGTGAGCTTTGTGGAAAAATCTACTCTACCTTATATTGTACTTACGTATATTGTCATTATTCACTATAGGCTACACACAATCGTCTATAGAAATAAGTGGTGGAGATGTGAAACTGCAGGACAGACTTTAATTACAAGGTATTAAATCCATTTCTGTCTGTCCAACAAGAGTTCCGGGGTGTGAGAAGCATTAAAGTGAATTTTACTGACCCTGTTGCACAGATCTGCAGAACTTCATGACTGAACCTAAGCCAGACACATTCAATTCTGTTCCTGGAGGGCCATGTCCCAGAGAGTTTAGTTCTGAGCCTAATTTAACACTTCAGAACCAACTAATTAAGGTCTTCAGGATTACTGTATTATTACATGCGGTGTGTTTGAATAGGGTTAGAACTAAACTTTGCGGGTCGTGGAATTGAGTACCCCTGACCTAAGCTTTGCTTTCCTTTTTTATTTGGTTTGATTTGGTTTGATCCAATAATGCACCTGCACAAAACATATTGGGTCATTCTTTTAAAACTTAGATTTTTTTTCATGGTTTTTAAGGGGATGTCAAGCAATCTGCCTCATTTGGCTAGCTTCTACGGTATGACACATGAATTTGCGCCAACATACTATAGAACACACAGTCGTTGACATCAGCAACAAAACATATGGGAAATGTTTTCTTCTCCCTTTTAACACTTGATTTAGCATAAGCCTATTCATTTTGCTTTGTTAACAATAAGCAATTTTGTGGCTAGTGCATCATTTAGCAAATGGGTTAACAAAGTGTCTTCACGGGCATTAATGCCTGAACCCGACCTGTTCGGGGATGACCCTGTGATCCGGTCTGACTGAGCATTTTTTCATTTTAATGAGTTCAAAATTTAAACAAGTGTAAAAATAAAATACTTTAACACTGATCAGTTAGCACACCTCTAGTGTATAGGGTTGTGCAATTGTATAATACCTGTGGTGTGGAAGAGAACCATAAGGAATCTTCAACACCTTTTAGCTGTGACAAGCAAACATGTGTGAAACACACACAACTCCCATCCTCCTCTCTGTCAGGGTTTCATAGGTAGGCATGCACACATGGAGAGTGGTAATGTCTTTCACATCACCCTGGCCTTCACCCCTCTCCAAACACCTTACAAATGTGTTACTAATCACAATATTGATCTCATAGTATGCTCCTCCAACACAATATCATTTGTTATCAACCCATTTACTTTAACAGTGTGGGTCTGTATCATGACCGCTTGTTACTCAAAACAATCAATAACTGTATTCTGTATGTGTGTCCAATGCAGATCATGGGATATGCAAATGTGGAAAGTGTTTCTGTGATGGAAACTGGTTTGGGGAATCCTGTCAGTACCAGGAGGAATGTTCACTCTCCAGCAAAACCAGTAAAGACCTCTGTCGCAATGCCCAGGGTGTAGTTTGCTCCAATGCAGGCAAGATGTATGATATTTGGTATTGCATGGGGACCTATAAATAATAGAACTAAAGGTCAAGATATGTGGCATGCAGTTGTCCAAACATTCTTTCTTGGGTGGTCTAGAAAATAACAGCCTGCTTGTATTTCACACCTTGCCCCAAACCCTGTACTTAACCCTTACACCGACCTGAACATTAGCTTTAGGTGATGTGTCTGTATGTTTTAGCAGGGGGCCCAACTGGTTGCAGATATGCCTGCTATGTGTCACCATGCCATTAGTACATGTGTGAACATGAAAGTGCTGTGTATCAGGATTGGGCAAAATCCAGAATTTAAGAAACAGCTTGTTTTAGGAATCGATTTATTCACACTTCCATTTAAATCGCAATGACAAGAAGGGGATCTACTGAATTGAAATTAAAAACTTAATATAAATTGTATCAATTAACTGTTAATTTTAGGTTCACTTATTCCTATATATGTAGATTTTTTTCTCAAATTATTATTATTATTATATTGAGAAAATTACAGTGTTCTACCACGGTCCATTATAATATTTAATGAAATGTGTATATTAAATTTAATTGTAATTTAAATGAATATATTTAATTTAATTTAAATTGATACCTACATTTCTGTAGGTGAAATCATTTAATAATTATGAGGGGAAAAATGTTTTTTTTTATGATGACATGTATATACAATTCATAACGAAATATACAATTACACTTACAACAAATTCTTAGAATCGTATTCTGCTATCTGCATCCAGTTTGCTGGCTCATATCAAATTCAGGAATTCTCAGTTCATTCTCTGATCAATTCTATATGGCATGCAATTCTATATAGCCTTGAGTCTGGAGTGTTTGTGTGAGCCTGTGTGTGTCTTCATATGTAGAAGTATGCTGCTGTGTGGTGCTGTGGAGCAGTGTGACAGCAAGAGATCTGTGGGTTTTGACATTGATGTGTCTGGCCGACAGGCACCTGTCACTGCGGCAGCTGCATGTGCCATAATCCCGATGGGAAGGGCCTAATCAGTGGACGCTACTGCGAGTGTGACGACAGCGAGTGTTTGGATGAAGACTCTGGAGACGTGTGTGGAGGTATGATCACAGGGTGACCAGTGCTTCTAGACTGATCTAGTGACCCAAAATGTTTTTGGACACATTTGTATGAATTTTACTATATGTCTAAACGCTACTGCATTTGATAACAAAATATAAAAACCATGGCATCTGCTTTGTTTTATTTGCTCATCTTTGATAAAACACTCAATATTGTAGCTGTAGCAATGGAAGCTACACGCTTTTTAGATAGAGGCATTAGGAACATGCAAGCACATTAGATACCCAGCATGTAAAATATAGTATTTATAAAAATCTGATAGATTTTTTGTGTGGTCTGAGCTAAACGATTAAAAGATATCACACCACTGTTGTCAGATTTTGTTAAAGGTGTCATGACATGAGAAATCTTTTGACTTATGAGAGATCTTTGTACCATTAAAACATCCTTCAAGTTTCATAGCTTAAAACATCCTCCTCATTATAAACAAAGCATTTATTTAATCAAGCTCCAAAATGGCTCATTTGGATATTGTGGGATTTGTTATGTCACGGGCAAATACATTTGCATATGATGGCCTCCAGAGCAAGACATCGACGAATAGTTATACATCATCTCACTGGTGTTCAGTCGTGTTCAGGGATAGTTAAAGGGGAAAGAAAACAAACAAAAAAAGACTTTATTCAACAATTTCTTCTCTTCCATGTTAGTCTTCGATGCGTGCTCACGAGAGTACCACGGCCCATGACTCGTTATTTTTGTTTTCTTTGTGCACAAAAAGTACTCTTGTAGCTTCATAAAATTAAGGTTGAACCACTGATGTCACATGGACTATTTTACCGATGTCCTTACTACACTTTCTAAGCCTTGAATGTGGTAGTTCCGTTGTTGTCTGTGCAGGGTCAGAAAGCTCTCGGATTTCATTAAAAATATCTTATTTTGTGTTCCGAAGATTAACAAAGGTCTTATGGGTTTGGAACGACATGAGGGTGAGTAATTAAGAACAGAATTTTCATTTTTTGGGTGAACTATCACTTTAACGCCTGATACTTGCCTACACCGGGTGCAAGCATCACGTTAAAAGCAAATAGAAACCATTATAATCACTGACGCTGTTTACAGTGAATACAGTACACAAATGCCTGTTCAACCTGTGACATAGTCTATGTGCTTGAGTCTGCTGACGACAGGACAAATGGAAAAGTGCTTTGACGCGTCGGGTTTAATAAAGTTAATTTAAAATTGTATTAGATTTCTTTGAAAACAAGTCTTACCTTACCACCTTGTGTAATTTTCATTTATCTTATGCAAGTAAAAATATATAAGATAAAAATGAAAGCCATTTTTTAATGCTGTATATCCATTTTACAAAAGCATATGGTTTTCAATAGCATGATTATATGTAAAATACACCCTTTAAAATTATTGACATCCTCATTCACTTAATGCCATTGCCATACCTGCACGTTGTCAACGATAATGATGATGAGATATTAAAAGAAAAATCTCAAAACTCTGAAATTGAATTTCTCTCTTCTCTCTCCCTGTGTTCGTGGTTGTAGGCCATGGAAAGTGTTACTGTGGAAACTGTTACTGCTCGGCTGGTTGGCATGGAGATAAATGTGAATTCCAGTGTGACATCAGCCCATGGGAGAGTAAGCGGAGATGCACATCTCCAGATGGCAAGGTCTGCAGCAACAGAGGTCTGTCTTTGTGCAAGCATTTACCTTACTCTGACATAACCAATATTTCCTATCACCTTATAACTTTAACTAATAGATTCACTTAGGTTATCCTTAATGCTACTGCAGGGGCATCTAAATCAAATTAGAATTTTATTTGAGGGGTTTTCCACAGAGTATCTGTACTGAAATAAGTCTAATTGTCCCATATCAGCTGTATACAACATAAGTAATTTCACCTGACAAGCACAAATGAGAGTGGAACAATGCATTCTCCATTAAGATACATCAGGCTGCCAAAAAAGCTTGGCTCTCATATTGCCGGTGAACCTCCAGGGAGCTTCTCTGAAATTGATTACAGCAAAAGGGTGAAGTGGTATACAGCATAAACTCAACCTCCATCTGAACCACTGTCTGTGGTTAAGTAATCTACCCGCAAACTGTGTCCACTCATCAGAAGCAACCCTGCTGCTTTTCTGCATCAAAAGGTTTCTAAAAACAACAGCATTTTACCAGTAGTTACACTTTCCAATAGAGTATGCAATCCCTCATGGCCTTCCTTAGGCATACTTATCCATGCATTTGACAACGTATGCATTTTTATCATCCTGTTTTCTGTTTGAGAGGAAAGCCCTCTGTCTCTAACAGGAATTAAATTCCCATTGCTCTAGAGCAGTGCACTTGCTAGTTCCAGTGCACATGGTGAAAGATATCCATTATTTTGGGCTCTTTTAAGCAATCCAGCCTCATTTTCTGTATTTTATATTCAGTTTATACCCTTCAATTATACGTTCTGCCCTGTGAATGGCAGGTCTCAGTGGATCGCTGATATTGTGTGAAATGACAGCCTCTTTTAGTCAGTCAACCTCTCAGTCCATGAAATAGCTTGCCCTTCACTTTGAAATACAACCATGCAAAGTTATGCATTTAATAACCTTTTGGAGAAAAAAAGCATAAATAAAGCAAAAATGCTTGGGTTTTAAAACAACTAATGAAAGTTACTTTTAAAACTAGACCAGAATTTAGGACCACATGTGCAAAACTCTTACTGGCAGAGTCTATTAAACGTTATTCTGACACATGTGGGATGCCAAAGGGAGGCTTAAAAAAGGGGACAAATGGCAGATGCAGACAGGCCAGTAAGTAAAGAGTTGTTACATTTACAATTAATGTCTGTAAAGAAAGCTAAGCTATTCTCAGTCTGGTCAAGGTGTTGAGACGCTATCCCAGGCTGAAATTTAAGAGGTAGACACAGAAAGGACATACAGTATTGGATGTAAAGCTGAAGTTCATTAGCAAAGCAGTGTTATAAGGAAAAAATGTGATTGATAATGGAGACAAGTGGCGTAGTTGATTTTAAAAAATATATATACAGAATAGTATAGAATATTTTATATAAATAATGTATTTAACAGTGTTTTTAATTATTATTATTATTAATTAATTTTGTACAGGTTAACTTTAAGTGAATGTTAGATAATGGCAACGTTTCAGTGTAAAATATAAATAGAAGAAATGAGTATGCATTGAATATCTTAATATACACTGCTGTTCAAAAGTTTGGATTTGGTAAGATTTTTTTTTAATGTTTTTGAAATAAGCCTCTTATGCCAAGGCTGCACTTTTTTTATTTAAAAATACAGTATATACTAATATTGTAGTAACATCCTAAAATACAGTAATATTGTAAAATATTAATAAAATATAAATGTTTGCTGTCACTTTTGATCAATTGAATGTATCCTTGCTCAATAAAAGTATTTATTTTTTTTTAAAAGAAAAAATCTTACTGAACCCAAACTTTTGAACATTAATGTATATCCACCCTAGTGAAAAATAAATATAGAAAAATGTATTTGAAATACAATTATTTCATGCTAAGTATACTAAAAATATATTTACATATTTATGTACTTAATATTAATAAAAAAATACCCTGCAATTGTACTTTTAGTATACTAAATTGGTATACTTAAAATCTGTTAAACTGTAACAACTCATTTTGTGCTTAATGCACTTTGATTGTGCGGAAGTAGTCCTAAAGTCCAACTAAAGATATACTGAACATTTGCTTATGCTAAAGTGGAACTTGCAAGTATACTTTAGGTACACTTTAAATATCTTGCATTTAAAGACCGATATTATTCAAAGATCATACAATACTCATCAATAGTGACATTAAAACACATTTTAGGCTTAATATTAAGAAATGTGCATTGTGCACAAATAGTACTCCAATTAAAGTTTAAATATAAATTTTATAACATTAGTCTCAAACAATATGTCAGTAAATATGTTAATAGATTTGATATACTTAGTATGAAATAAATGTATTTTAAATATATTACTTTTTTACTAGGGCAATATTGACCAATACAAATTTAAACTAATATTGGCTGATAACTGATATTGTGGATCTCTAATTTTAGAGTTAGAGATGGTTCTGTAATGATTATATAACTAGAATTTGTGAGACACACTTGGGCTTCCATTAATCGTTTCTTCCTTCCCTCAATGAACTCCCACTGAGTCTTAGCCAAGTGTAAGCAAGTTACTGAAGAGTGGGCTACTACATGTATCACTGTATTTGCTTTTCTTTGTTTTACACCAAGCAACAATGTACTCTTACATGCATGACTCTAATAATACAGCTCATGCCATTTATTTAAGCATTCACAGAAGGTTGCATAATGCAAATCAAGTGCAATGTAAGGTCTATATTCACGAGAGGACAGATCTTTGACAGGCCTGCAAATGGTGGCGGCTACAGTGGTCTAGCCCCCTGCTCACAGGACGCCAGCTGGCTCGCTTCCCAGTGTGCTTTCACCGCACAGATAAGAGAAAACAGGATTTCCAGTTGTGCTGCAACTGGTCTGGCTCGGATTCATCAGAGTGGATGTGTTTCCCGCAGCCATGACTGTCGCCCCAGCAATAAATTAGCTGGAACTTAGAGTAAGCATCCTCATCAATCCTTGCCATGCATGGCCCCTTATTGTCAGCTGGGCTCTGGAGGATTTGGCCCCCAGGAGAAATTTGGCTTTCCTTTTCAGCATCATTACAATTATAGTGCTGTGCAGCTAACTGTTTCAGTCAGCCCTAATCCTCCTAACACAGGCATAACAATTTGAACCCATATTCCAACGATCAGAAAATGGCCTTACCTGGCACAGACCACAGAAAACATAGTCTGTCCTAAATGTAATTCATTAATATACATTTTTAAAAAAGCATTTCTTTTGAAAATATTCAGAAATGAACTAAGAACACCAGTTCCTGAATTTGAACAAAGTTTGGGGTCAGTTTTAAAGAAATGAGTACTACAATTTAGCAATCAGTAAGAATGCCTTAAATTGATCAAAAATGACAGTGAATTATAATGTTACAAAATATTTCCATCTCAAATATCTCAAATAAATACTGTTTTTTTTCATCAAAGAATCCTGAAAAATAATGTGTCACCGTTTCCACAAAAATATTAAAGGGTCATATGATGCTATTTTAAAGATCATTATTTGAAATTCAGCTTTGCCATCACAGGAATAAATTAAATTTTAAGGTATAATAAAAAAAAAAAAAACATTTTAAATTGTAATAATATTACACAATATTACTGTTTTTACTGTATTTTTGATCAAATAAATGCAGCCTTGGTGAACTTATTTTAAAAACATAATAAAAACTTACCAAGGTATTCAATACAGTAAGTATAATTTTTAATAAGCAATGCTGGCTTGAGAAAGGCTTGTTTGAACGTTTTTTAAAATGTTAAAAAAAAGTGTAATGAAATATTCCAAGCAGATATTGATGTTATGAATGAATAAACACCACAATTGGCCTCTTTTATTAAATAACGTTGTGCCCTTTGTTATATTTTTTATATTAACTTTAGTCTTACTTTACTCCTATAAAGTCTTATATAAACAGGACAATTTGAGAGTCGCACCTGTTAATATGATTGTGAATCCCAAACGTAAATATAGTCTAGTTTGACTCTCAGAGGAGGTTTACCATACTTTCACCCTGTCTTTGTAGGCACATGTGTATGTGGCGAGTGCACTTGCTATGATGTGGATCCCTCAGGAGACTGGGGTGACATCCATGGAGAGACCTGCGAGTGTGACGAGAGAAGCTGCCATGCCATGTACGACAGATACTCGGATGACTTCTGTTCAGGTGAAGCACAAACTGTTCTGTCAAACATCTTATTCTTATTATCATTTTATGTTGTATTTATATAATCTGTATCCCACTTGTCACTCTGGCAGTGTTTTTCTCAGTTTGAAATGGTCAGTTTTGTCTTCATCAAACCCCCTCAAAAGGAAATGGTTCACATTCCAAAATCCAGCAGTAAAAATACTGACAGTTGCTGAAAAACAAGGCAGGGTGGAACTGTTCGATATCCGTTCACGCCACCTCTTCAAGATCTTGCATAAACACAGGACACGTGGATTATCCTGAGCTGAAGTACAACAGATGTGGTTCAGAAACATTTCAACATCTGTTTCTAATGCTGAGGAATAACTCTGCGGCCAATCTTATGTTCGCCTCAGAGGACCGGGCTGACTATACTTTTTTTTACATTCATGGTCAGCCAGACCTGTGAGTGGTGCCCTTTAACTTCAAATCCATAAACCGACTCACATACACCACCAATGTATAATCTTTTTCTGTATCTAGGGCAGCTTCAGGCAGAGCTTCGGTCGACCGTTCATCCATTAAAGAACTCTAAATCCTGCTATGTGCCTGTTTGAAGGTCACGGCCAGTGTAACTGTGGCAGGTGTGACTGCAAGGAAGGTTGGGCTGGAAAGGAATGCGATCATCCTCTCTCCTGTTCGCTGTCTATGGAAGCCGGTCAGAAGAAGTGTCGGGGAACCTCCAGCCTGCTCTGCTTTGGCAGAGGTAATTAAGTGTCTATTCATCTGTGCCAGAGTGGGTTCCAACAGCAGCGTTTCACAGATCCGAGGTGTTACGTGTCTGGGTTGCATGGTAGGCCAGAGGACTCTTAAAGGTGAAGTGTGTAATTTTCCACTCTCCCGATTAGTTGCTTCATCATGGCGTGATGCAAAGCTTTAGCGGAAATAATAATGCTAAAATTAACAAAACTGTCATTTGTGACCATGGACCACAAAACCAGTCATTAGGGTCAATTTTTCGAAATTGAGATTTATACATCATCTGAAAGCTGGATAAATAAGCTTTCCATTTATGTATGGTTTGTTATGACAGGACAATATTTGGCAGAGATACAACTATTTGAAAATCTGGAATCTGAGGGTGCAAAAAAATCAAAATATTGAGAAAATCTCCTTTAAAGTTGTCCAAATGAAGTTCTTAGCAATGCATATTACTAATCAAAAATTACGTTTTAATATATTTACAGTAGGAAATTTACAAAATATCCTCATGGAACATGATCTTTACTTAATATCCGAATGATTTTTGGCATAAAAGAAAAATCAATAATTTTGACCCATACAATGTATTTTTGGCTATTGCTACAAATATACCGCAGAGCCTTAAGACTGGTTTTGTGGTCCAGGGTCACATTTAGCATGTCAATCTTAATAGAATGGTTTGAATGAAACACATGTTGGTACATAAATTATATTGTGGCAGTATATGTCATTCTTTGAGCCTATAGATTAATTCGAAATAGTGTTTCAGCAACAATTATAAGAGCCCAAACATGTCTCTGTGGTAGTTTACTGCTAAACTCGGAACCAACACAAATACTCCAAACAGATGCAGGATGATGTCTGAATACACAAGACAAACATTGGATTTTGATAGAGCTGTGTGAATCATTGATTTCTTCTTCTTTGGATGGATTGTTTGTTTGATTCAGATTATTGATTTGCAAAAACTACTATGATAAACCACAGTTTATTTCTGTTTCTACTTGTTTTATTGCTATCTCTACTTGATCTGACCCTTAAAATGTCTTTTTTTTCCAGCATTCAGTTATATTAAATATATACATTTTTGACAAGCTAATTTAGACGTTACCACATACAATTGTTAGGTTACCTGGCAAAACTTTTTTACATACTGTCCACCAACATGCAGTAGTTACAGTAATCGTTACTGCAATAAAACTTCGCATTTGTGGGTTGTAGATTCTGATAGAAAGATTCTGGCACAGCTGAAGATCATATATAAATGTAATATGGTTTTATAGTAGTAACATGAATTGTAGTAAGAGTGGCATTTGGCAACCTAACAATTCAAACACATTTATTATTAATATTTTAAAAACAAATCGCCATAATCATCTGAATTACAGTCTCATATGAATGCGTGGTACTTTTTGTAAGAGCAATTATGAACGTTTGCTTCAGGTAGGGGTGCTGGCCTGTCTCTGCATGAGTCTTGTTAAAAAGAAAAAATATCACAGTAGATGAATCAGAACTAGTGCAATTGTTCCAAAACAATACTATTTCCATAGTTCCCTGCTGCAAAAGAAAAGTGAAGAGTGATAATAATAGTATTGTTTCACTGAGTGAGGTGATAATTTAACTTTAATGGAGCCTGTGTTCTGTGCACTTGTTTTTTAAAGGACTTCCACCCCCGTGCTCTCTTATACTCTAGCGACGTAGAGCAGCTAATATAACTTGTCTCATTTTAAAAGTCAAAAATTAAATGACATTTGCTGTAATGGCTGAGTTGAAAAAGTGTAGCCTACACATAATTCAATTCAAAATCAGTTTTACAATGCTACATTAAATACTAAATGCTAGGCCATGTTTGTTGTATACAGTGTCAGTAATGATTAGATCCAATGTACCTAAGAAACACACGTGAACATGCAGGCTGGAAGAATCAGGTACATAGCAGCATTTGTGTTTTATCCCTCAAGTCTTTAGCTCGGCACGTTTCTTCTATAGCACCTGAAATAACACTGAAACTGGCAGCAAGTCTTGTGTTGAAACTTATAAACAAATGTGAACCAGATGCATCAGAACCATGTGTATAAAAAAGCTAAATCTGCATAGGGATTTCTGGCTTGGATCTTGGCACTGTGAAAACCGTTTGTTCTGGTCTTTTTTTGAGGAACATAGAGAGTAGGATGTGAGTTCTGTACCTCTAATAAAAAAAGAAATTATTAAACTGTAATAAAGTCACTAAAATTAATTATTAGCTTTAATTCCTTCAGCTGTACCTTTAAAGCGTCTAAAATCTGCTTCAACCAAATGGTGGGTTAAATTGTGTCCAAGCTCAATAATTAATTGGCAGGAAATAAAAAATATAAAAATGAAAAAATTCCTGGAGGGAAGCCAGTTTATTTAATTTATTGCAGCACTGACTGACTGAAGTGTAGTACAATTTTATGACAAGGTGTACAACCATGTATTCTCATTAAATAGTCCATTGTTTATTAATGTATATATAAATTTAGGATTGGTTTAATGATTAATAATCAAGTATCACTATATTATACATAAAAATAAAGTTACTCTTCATATTATATTATAGTAGATATTTTACCAGGGCTTGTTTCTTTTTTCTTTCTTAAAAGTATTAAATGGATTTAGATTTTTCCTGTCTAATGTTTTTCACATCACAGCTCAGGATAGTTGCTAGTCAAGAACTTGGGACTGTGCCATCAGCCAATCAGCATGACATCATTTTCCTGCAGCTCCAGGATCATTAGTTACACGGTATTTACAGCTCAGGTGATTGGCTCAAAAATATCAAAATTTGTGCTTTCAGAGGGTCCTGTGCCAGCCAAGCAACTGCCATTGAGATGAATGGGAGTGCTAACGGATAGCTTTCTCTAGTTATTATAGACCTCCTTGTGTGTATCTACTAGATCTTAAATCTTTTCCTGAATTCCAGTTTGAATGGAACCCTGTGGCTTTACAGTTCAACATCAATAATCCATAGATTCACTGTCCCTCCATACTGTGAGCATGTGCTATGAGACGTGGCCAGCAAATGATGATTTATACATCTGTTTACAAAGAATTTCACCCATGATTGGAGCTATAGGTCTGCTCGCTGCATCCATTATCCTGACAGCAGGTAATTATCCAGGTTTCCTCCATTCTGAATTTCACTCCCATAATTAAGAATTATTAGGACTGAGTTGACAGTCCAACCTGGCTGAATCAAACCAACATTTACACAGTTCCACGGAGAAGCCCCATATGAGGGATTCCCATGCCACATGGCAGTTGCTTGAGATTCATGAAGCATCTGACTAAAATGAGATATCTTGATTTTGTGTGTGCTAGCCTCGCATCTTTTACTTATGTGCCCATTTTTCCTAGATAAGAAGGGTCATCATTGTGACTCGTAAAAACTCGTAGCAAATGGACAGAGAGAAGAAAGCAGAATTCAGTAAAAGAGCTTGTAAATGGTTTCGAGTGGAAACAAAGAGCCAGCTGAAATGGCGAAAAGTGAAAATCTGGAAGATTTTAAATTCTCTTAAGCCTGGAATATCCTCCAGGAAACATCTGTTCTGAGAGGGTTTCTGCTGAGGCTGGAAAAGCAGTTTTGGTAACACTTTCTATGAAGCCCGTATTTATAGTACATTATAAGGGTATTCTTAAGGCATTATAATGAATGCATAATGCATTATAAAAAACGTATAATATGTTATATCAACTCATGAATAATCATAACAACAGTTATAATACATCATAATACTTACGTATTTGTGGTTATAAGTTTAAGAGTATGATTATTTATAACACACAACGAACACCATATTAAATCTACTTCATTTACAGTATAATGGACTGTATCATATCTTGACATTGTTTATTAAGATCCGCACAGTATCTTACTACAGCTTGTGAGTGGTTAGATGTTGAGTGTTATCTGAGTGTTTCCTGTGGAGCTAATGTTAATTAATTGATGTGAGCTTTTTACTCCAACTGAAAAAAATGCAATGTTTTATATGGTTACATTTTATTTTGATGG